TTAAGCCAGTTTTAATAAAGTCTACAACCATGGCAAATTTAAGACATACTAATTCTTGAAATAACAGTGTGGAGTTGGAGGAACACAGCAGGCCACGCAGCATCAGAGGAGCATTTCTGAAGAAGGGTCCTGACCTGAAACGTCAATTTTCCTGTTTCTCTGATGCTACCTGCCCTGCTGTGTTCCTCCAGCTCTACACTGTGTCTTATATTGCCATGGTTGTATAAGTTATCTCTGACTTCAGCATCTGCAGTTCTTGCCATCTCTGACTAACTATTGAAATGCCAGCCTTGACTCAATGGTAGCACTTGTTTCTGAGTCAGAAGCCTCTTGACTTGAGCACATAATCTAGCCAAATGCTGAGACAGTGCTCCACTGTTGAAAGTGCTGCTTCAGGCATTAAACTGAGGCTGCATCTGCCTTCTCAGCTGGATGTAAAAGATCTATATAACTATTTGAAGACAGGAGTTTTTAGTGTTTAGAATAATATTTATCACTAATATTTATCTATCTTGTCATTAATCATAACACTGTGAGATCATGTTGTACACAAATTGACTGCTGCACTTCTCACTTTACAACAATGTCACCACTTTGTAAGTCCTTAAATTGGCTTTAAAGTGCTCTGGAGTATCTAGTATTTGTGAAAGGTGGTATATAACACAGACTTGTTCTTTTGTGTTATGTATCTCAATCATATTTTCCTTTAGGAGAAAGCAAATTTATTTTGAAAAATTTAAGTAGTGTAATTTTTCCTCTGAACTCCCTCTACTGTAACAATATCCTTTTATAAACATGCCTGAATCAAAATCTAACTCATTATATTTTTGAGTGAAAATAAAATTTACATTAGCAACCTTGTGATGGTTGGCTTTTGGTTGAGAGTCACATATTTGTTATTTCACACATAGAGACTTATAATTTTTTTTTGGCTTTAGTCTTCTGCCACACAACAATTGGTCATTTCAAGCCTTAAAAAGGTAACATCTAAATTTTACTGTGCAATTATTTTCAAATTACAGCAAACACTTCTGACGATGTAGTCAAAGTTTAGTGCAATCCTTGGTTCCCATGAGGGGTAGCCCTCGTAATCTTTATAACACAGGTGCTCCCACTGTGCCCTGAGATAGGGATTCCCAATATATTGGTTTAGAAACAAATAATTAACTTTGTCCTATTTGGATCTGAAAAGGTTAATATTGAGCACTGCCATAAATACCACCTGGCCAGAATAGCTGAGGGTTTTGAAACAGTGAGACTTAACATCTGGTCATCTCAAAGTCTCTAACAATGAAGATCACTGATCCACTGTGAACCACTGATAGTAGCCTGTGCAATATTTGCCCTATTATTGCAACTATAGTATTGATTATAACTAGTCCCATTTGGGTTTCTGGTGCCTCTCAATATGTTGACTGTGAGGAACTCAGAAATGGTAGTTCCATTAGTGAAAGCATGACCGGTTTTCCTCTTGTTGGGGACTGTCATTATCTCCCTCTTCTGTAGTACATATGTTGCACTTTATTTGTTAACACAAGGCTGGATCCCGCTATTACCTGGTAATGGAGTTCCTCATTATCTGAGAAGTTATGAATTGAGATGAATATTGTCAGCAAAAAGACCCATTCCAGGTCTTACAATAAAGGAAAACCTTTACTGAAAATGGAGGTAAAGATGACTAGGCTTGGGATGCTTCTCTGAATAGATACTGCAGTAATGTCCTATAGCTGTGATGACTAGTAAACAATGATGCCAGAAAAACAAATGTGCACCCTTGTTCATCCTCTAAACTGTGGGGTGGGTGGGGACCGATGTTTCTAAGGTTTCTGTCCTATTAAATGATATTGCCTGGAGGTTTGCTGCAGGCAGTAGGTCAGGACTAAATATAATATTACTTGCTCTCATAACAGTGGGATGTATTGTCTCTGACTGAAGCAAGTGTAAAGCCCAAGGTTTGGATTGTCATCACACTGGGGAATCTAAAGAAATGGTGAGTTGCATGTCATTTCAAAGAGATCTGAATAACTTTGTTCTTCTTGATATTGATTTTTCCAGTGCCACTGAATTTTTGTTCTTTTTTTTCCCCTATGGCCCAATCTATTTTCTTGTTTGTCTCTCCAATAATTTCTAGGGAATTGGGTCTTATTGGGTCTGATTGCACAGCTGCTTATCGCCACAGGTATCTCACTCAGGTCATCATTGTTCAGTGTTGAAGACTACTCGACTATGGAGGGTGTTCTTGCCAAATAAACCTATAAGCCCCCTTTCCCAGAGGAAATGGGAAGAGGGAACAGTCCAGCGATACTGAACTCAATTATAGCTGTTGTCTTAGAAATGATATCATGCTGGAAACAAACCTAGAACCTTCAAGATCCTCAGCTGTTCTGCACACAAATCCCTATGACAGCATCATAATGGGTGGTGTTTATGGAACTGCTTCGTATTAATCCTGCTGGACCCATTTACAACAAAGTATGTTATTTGTTTCTCAGCCAATATCCTGGGGTTCCCTGTCTGAGAACTCAGTGGGAGCACTATTGTTACGTGTACTAAGGCTAGTGGCTCAAAACCAAGACTGGGTGATATAGAGTCATGGAGATCTGCACCACAAAAAAAAACACCCTTTCACCCATTACATCCATGATTGTCAAGAACAACAATTATTATCCCATTTTCCAATACTTGGCCTATAGCCTTGTATGCTTTGGCATCGGAGGTGCGCATCTAAATACTTCTTGAATATTATGAGGGTTTCTGCCTCTACCACCCTTACCGGCAGTGTGTTGCAGATTTCCACCATCCTCATTCCTCACATCCCTAAACTTCCTGCCACTCTTCTTACATCTATGCCCATGGTCAAAATTCCTTCCATCAAAGGGAAAAGCTCTTCCTGCCTTTCCTATCCATGCCCCTCAATTTTATACATATCAATCATGCCCCCTCTCAATCTGCTCTGCTCTAAGGAAAGCAACCTCAGTCTGTCCAATCTCTTTTCATAACTGAAACTCTCCAGGCCAGACAACATCCTGGTAAATCTCATCTGCACACTCAACAATGCCATCACATCCCTTGGATATTCCCATGCACCACCCTAAGTCTCCAAGGAAGCCTCATCCTTTTTGCAATTAATTGACACATTTTGGATCAAACATAACAAGCCCCCCACACATGATTTTATTCACATGCGCACACCTTATGAAGTCAAATAGATTTAAAAGGTATCTACAAGATAGAAGTTCCATCTGTCGGGCTAGGTATCATGCTTGGATTTTTCATTTTGCTGTGTTGACTTGGAGGGACTGTAAGGAGTAGTCAGTTGCTGTTTCAATGTTATCAATTTCAGATTCAAGAGTTTAATAATCTGTTTGATCGTGAAGGCTGACATCATCAACCCCAGATTAACACCAGAATAGCACAACTCAGTAACCAAACCACAGAAATAATACTTAGAAGTGATTGCTCCTCTTGACAATTGACTGCTTTCTTAATGGGCATTACTATTCATTCCTACAGTAAAATTTGTGCCACACATACTAGACAATCTGACTACTACCCCTGACATTCAATGGTATTACTAACACTGAATCCCCCACTACCAACATCCTGGGGGTTGCCATTGATCAGAAACTCAACTGGACTCCCCAAAGCCTGTCCATCTCCAAGGCATGTGGTGGATTACTCCCCACTTATCAGGTTGAGTGCAGCTCTAACAAGCCCAAGAAGCTGGACACCACTCCGCCCACTTAATTGGCACTGTATCAACAAGTGTCCACTCCCTCCACCATTGATGCTAATCGCAATAAGGATTGCAGAAATTCAACAAAGATCCTTAGACAGCACCTTCCAAATCCACTACCGCTTCCATCTGGAAGGACAAGGGTAGCACATACATGGGAACACTACAACCTGCAAATTTCCCTCCAAGCCTTCACTGTTGCTGGATCAAAATCCTGGAATTCCCGTCCTAATGACATTGTGGGTCAACCTGCTGCGGTTTATGAAGTCAGCTCACTACCATCTTCCAAAGGACAACTAGTGACAGGTAACGATGTTCCTCTCCCGTGAGTGAATAAAAGAAAACACTGATGTCATTTCACTGAAGTAATGATTTGTACTAGTTAGTTCTGCGTTGGTGTAACACAAATCCTAATCCATTGCCATTTATTAAAAGTTAAATCCATCAATCTGACAGTACTTTGTGAAGGTTTTAATGCATTTTTCTGGCTCATATGAACAGTATCTGAACCGAAGAGACCTTGAAGTGGACAATAAATGCTGGTCCATCCAGCAAAGCCAACATCTCCGAATGAATTTTTTTTTAAATTGGGCTTTCTTATCTGGCAAAAGGCAAGACTGTTGTAAGCATCACCAAATAACGGTTAACATTAAATTGTGTTGCAGTGAGTCACGATGTAATCAAGCATTACTAACATTTTGCCCAGAGAATTTGGGAGTGAGGGATTGGTAGAGAATATGACTGAAAATTATCAGTGGGTTTGTACTTTCTGTTTTTAGGTCACACTCGCGGCTATAAACCATACTGTATTTATACCAAAACGTTTCTTTTTGTGGTGTGTGGTTCAGGCCAGAAAATGGCTGGAAATGCTAAAAGCAAAGGATATTTTTACATCTACCATTAAACATTCAAACATACAAATCTCGAGTAAATAACGTTTTAGCTGGTAGGTAAGTAGGCATTCCTATGGGAGCACTTACTTTCCTGACGCCTGTATTTCAATCAGACTACATTACTGTATTCCAATCTTAAGTGCATGAACTGGCTCTAATATTTACAGCTTCGCTCTTGGATCTGTTTATATCCCAGCTGCACATACTACCAGATATCTCACCTCAGTGGCCCCTGGATATTTGGTCTTGTGATCCTGTTAGAAAATTATTTCAACTCATGACTCAATATCGGTTTTAGCCAACCCAGGGCAGCTATACAGAATCTGTTCCAACCTTCAGTAAGAATTTCTAACGGCAAGTGCATGTCCACCATGTTCAGGGACACATTTACTTTCACCCCTTCGACACTCCGTTCGTTAAGGTTACGGAGGGAGCTGCAGAATTTGGAGGATGAAAGGAGAGCTTCGTACAGGTCTCCCAGAAACAGACAAACTGCTGCTCTCAGCCAAAGTGTATTCAGGGAATCGAGAACGTTGTCACAGCTCTCCAGCGATTCTGCCGTCCGCGACGCTTTGTGCGATGGAGATCTGGACAAGATCCGAGCCGTCTTCCACAGTAAAGAGGCGGCCAACGCGACTATACAGACAGTCAGCCATGAACTGAGCTGGTCGGCTGAGCTAGGTATGAATCCACACTCCACGCTAATATTCCTGGATGGTGCCAGCGTAAGATAGTTCAAGCCTGACCTCAGTGGCAAAGTTTTATACGATGAATTAAAATCTTCTTTCCCATTAATGATTATGGCAGTGTATTGCCCAGAGGGCAGTTAAGTGTCAACCACATTGCTGTTGGTCTGGAGTCACATGTAGACCAGACCGGGTAAGATTTCCTTCCCCGAAGGGTATCAGTGAACCAGTTGGGTTTTTCGCCAACAATCGGCAATGGATTCGTGGTCAGCGTTAGACCCCTAATTCCAGATTCTTTATTTAAATCATATTCCACCATCTGCCATGGCAGGATTTGAACCCAGAACATTAGCTGAGTTTCTGGATTAATAGTTTTAGTTTATGGATAGTTATAGTAGCTGGATTAATAGTCTGGTGATAAACCGCTGCCTCCCCATAACCTCCCATTAAGAAGAGAGATATGTTCTAATAATTATTGTTTTAACTGATTACTCAGGCATGTTATGACACATTTCTGAGATGGGGCAGGTGGGACTTGAATCTGGAGATAGCGAGAACCGCAGATGCTAGAGTCAGGGTCAATATAGTGTGCAAGTGGAGGAACACAGCAGGTCAGGCAGCATCAGAGGAACAGGAAAGTCGACGTTTCGGGTTTACATCCTTCATCAGGACTTGAACCTGTGCTTTCTGGCCCCTACCTCTGCACTGATTGGGACAACGCACTCTCCATTTTTCCTAACTGTATTTGTGCCCAGTGCCTCTTGTTGCTTCAGAATCTGTTTATTTTTCCTTTTCTGCTATTTTCCCTTGCTCCCAAGTTCCTCCTGTTCAGATAGAGAGAGGATGTACTGTTCACCCCTCCATTTGTACTATTTTTTTTAAAAATTATCAGTTATTGTAATTGAACTAAGGATACACTACTTGCATTTTGTTCTAAAAGTTGCAGTTGTACCTAACACTTTGTTAAAAAGGAACTTGGACAAACTCAGGTCCCTCTTAATATATTCCACATCAAAATACCTCTCACTCTGCCACCAGGAATATTATTTGCTTTTGATGTAGTAGGAATAGGATGGAAGTAGAGTTGTGTCAAACAACAGACACTTCTGTTCATTATATTTCTCAGTCTAACTTTTAAATTCAATGTTTTAAAACTATTTTCCAGTAGCTGGAGCAGAAACATGAGGTTCATTTGTCTTGGTATTGGTACAGAGGGAGACAAAACAAGAAACTTTTTAGTTTCTTAAGAATGCAGCCGACTATCATTTGATTTTAGTACTTTAATGATACACAATTCCTATCTAATTTCTTACACCGTTGAAATGTTAATCCATGCTGGTAATGACTTCAGGCACTTAGTTGTACCAGGCACAAATAAATTACTTTACAGATAACCAAGCAACTGCTGTTTACATTTTTACTAATTTATTACCACAATAGATTATAGTGAGATAGCCTATTATTGAAAATCAGAACTAGCAAAATTGTATTCATTAGATCTCTAGTTTCCTGTTAGCCTGTTTCTATATTGGGACCATAGAAAAGTTTCTTTGGAACTATTTTTATTATAGAGTCCATTCAAAGGATAGGGAATAGGCCTTGACAGGTCCAGGAGGACTCAACGTTGAGTTCTCTAATTTCAAATATTCCACCTGGGCACCCTATAGCCTGGAGGACTCAACATTGAGTTCTCTAATTTCAAATAATGTTCCCACCCATTCCCCAGGCTCCCTTTCCAGCCCCACTTCCCCCCTCCCATTCCACCTAATGACGCTCCCTCCTAACTACCAACCAGATTCATCCCTCCCATCGACCAACCAGGTTGTACCTACTACTGGTGTCCACCTATCACAACTGTTCTGCTACCCTCCCCCTCCCCACTCCAACATCCAGTCCTGAAGAAGGGTAATACCTGAAGCATTGAATTCTCCTTTCCTCCAGATGCTGCTTGGCCTGCTGTGTTCTTCCATGCTCTTGTTTGTCTACCTTGGATTCTAGCACCTGCAGTTTTTTTTATCTCCAGTTCTATTATTGTTTGTAGACCATTTAAGAAATAGGCCTTGCCCTGCTGCATGTTGCTTTCTCTAATTAACCTGCCTGCAAACAATTCAGCTGTTGGTTTTAATATGCATGATGATGTTAACATTTTTGTCAATTTGCTTATTTTCTTTCAGACTTCTGGGTGATCCTGCACTTCTTGTCAATTTTCCTGCTTCCCTTTCTACTGCAATTTAATTATCCCCCTAAAATATTTATGCACATGACTGATGAAAGTTGACATTATTCCTTTCTCATTACACATATTTTTAAGTGAGAATATCATCTGCCACTTAAGAAACTCTTGTTTTCCACCTAAGCATCAGGAAGTGCATTCAAAGATCTCAACCATTTGCTGCATAAATGGGCTTTTCCACTTGTTGCTTCTGGTTCTTTTGCCTATTTCTTTAAAGCAGTGACTTTGGTTCTTGGTTCTTCCACTGATAGGAACAGTTTCTCCAAATCTACACTGTCTAAATGCCTTATGATTCTGAACATCACAATCAAATGTCCCCACACTTTCTTCTTTTAAGGAGAAATGCCCAGTATTTCTAATCCATTGTCATGTCTGAAGTCCATTATCCCATTCCTTTGGATCTTTTCTGCACCATTTCCAACGATTTCCTTTTCTTCCCAAAGTGTGTTGCCCAAAATTAGACACAAGACTCCAACAGAGGCCAAACCAGAGTTTTATAAAGGTCTGACAAAGCTTCCTTGCTTTTGCACTCTATGCTTCTATTTATAAAGCCCACGATCAATTATACCATATTAACTGTTTTCACAACCTTTGGTGATTTTTGCATATATACCCCATATCCCTCTGGTCCTGAACCTCTTTACAATTGTATGTTTTTATTTTCCACTCCCTTACTTTCTTATCCTGAACAAAATATATCACTTTACACTTACGTGTTAAGGCTCACTGGAGTAGAAGTCTGAAAATCAAGCCCCACTATTCCTGGTGTCATCACAAAAGTTAAAGATTTTTAAAAGATTGCTTCCCAATCATCCTTCTGTAGGTATTTTTGCTTGTTTGCAGAAGACACAAGGTGACTGGTTCTCAGTGAAGAAGGTCTTTGATTTATTAATTAAAAGTCACAGCTTATAGCAACTGGTAAAGGGAAATAAATTGGCTATCTTCAGGCTTTAGATGCTTTTTACTGCAGAGCAAAACCAGTTCATTCTTATCCAGAGATCCAATGGTTTCTGACTAATTTGTTCACACCCCCAAGATGTTCAAATACCTGGCAGCCAATCACATATTCGGTGGCAGAGAGAAGGCCTCTTTTATCGATAATTGGTCACTAGTCTGCAGACCAATCAGCTACTTGTTGCCAGCCAAAGCTCCATCTGTAATCATTCCTAAGTTCTGACTTGTTTGCAAATGAGACTTCCACTACAGCTTAACAAGCAGCTTGTTTACAATGAGTATCAGATTACTTGCTTTTTTTTTCAAAAATGCAGCAGTCCTTTAATATTCCTTGGTTTATAAAACAGTCCTTATCCCATTTCTACAGAGATAGTAGGAACTGCCGATGCTGGAGAATCTGAGATAAGAAGGTGTAGAGCTGGATGAACACAGCAGGTCAAGCAGCATCAGAGGAGCAGGAAAGCTGACGTTTTGGGTCTAGACCCTTCTTCTGAAATTCCTCTGTGTTCATCCAGCTCTACACCTTGTTATCTCTTTTCCCATTTCTGTCCAGAATCAAAAATACAGAAAAACAAAAAGGCACAATTGTTTTTTTTTGAAGTCTATCACTGTCCTCAATACTGTTCACAAAACTTTCATGCTTTGTGTCCCCTGCAAATTATGAAATCCCGTCTTGCACACTCATGTCATGTTCATAAATATAGATCAAGAAAAGCATTGGTTCCAATACTGATCCCTGGGAATCCTAGTATATACCATCTAGTCTGATAAACACCCATTCTTCGCTTGTGTTTCCTTTCACTGAGCTAACTTTGTATCCACTTATCTTTTATTTATGGGCTTCATCTTTGCTGATGCGGCAATTATCAAATGGCTTTTGGAAGTACTTTTATATAACATCAACTTTATTAGCCTCAGAAATCCTCTGCTACTCCACCAAAAACCTGAACCAAATTACTTAGACACAATTTTCCCTTTACAAATCCTTGCCGGCTCTGCCTTAATTTATCTACATTTATCCAAATGATTTAATTTTATCCTAGATTGTTGCCTCAAATACCCTTCCCATCAAAGATTAAATTGACTGCTATATCATTGCTAAGCTTATTCTTGCACACTTTTCTTGAACAGGGATGTAACATTTACAATTGTCATTTATCTGTCACTATCTCTGAATTCCAAAGAAGTTGGTATAATATGGCCAGTCCCAATGCAATTTCCATCATTACTTCCTGAGGTATCTTTGGATGAATCTAGTCCAGTTTGCAGGACTTTGCAGCTTTAGGCACAATCAAATGTTTCTGATAACACCTCTTTGCAGTGTTTGGCCCTTCCAGTGACTTAATTACGTCCTATTTCACTACAACTTTGTTAGCATCTCCTTGCTTGGCAAAAGGCAGATATAAAATGCTTATTTAGAACCTTTACTGCCTCTGCGCACAAATCCCTTTTCACAACCTAATTGACTCTACTGTTACTTTTATCACCCTTTTTCAATTTATAAGCCTATGATAGACTTCTGAATGCCTTTTTATATTTGATGCCAGTCTCTTCTCATTTTCTCTATTTGCTCTTCCTCCTTCCTTTTCACCTGTCATATGCATTTTTTTGGCTTAATTGTATTCTGTTTTGTTATCCAAGGAAGTTTCGCTTTGTTTACCCTACATTTCTCCCTTATGGAAGTGTATATTGACTGTACCCAACTTAAAAGTAACCTGTTGTTCAGTTGCCTGCCAATATTTGATTCTAAATTAACTGGTCCAGATCTGCTCTGACCACTTGAAGTTGGCTTTCTGCTAAATATTTTTACTGTGAATTGCTCCTTGTTCTTTTTCATACCTAACCTAACCCCTATGATAATATGATCAATGTTTCCTAAGTGGTACCCCTCCGATACTTCATTTCCACTTCAATTCCCAGAACCAGATCCAGCAAATCCTCCTTGCTTGTTCGAAAAGAAATATCCTCATCTAACAATACCTGTTAAAAAATGATCAGTTTTCAAATTTTTAATTGACCCAGCATCTATCACCTTATTAGAAAGGGGGGAGTTTTATACGGGATTAGGAAAATGAGTTCTGGATTTCCATAGTTTTTGTGTGTGAAAAAATGCTTCAGAATTTCACTGCTAACTGATACGGGTCTAATTTAAGAATATGTCCACTCTTCTGAAATCCCACTGCCAAAGGGAAATAGCTTTTTCTTACCTACCTTATTGCATTTTTTAAAAACACCTATTCTTCCATTTTTTTATAATTTTCAACATATTAAGGGAAAGCGTGTATTGTAAATGCAGGGAGACAGCCTTTAGAAAGTAATGAAGAGCACCTTCCTAATTTTCATTAAAATTGCTTGGCTATTACTGACAATAGTGTCATTCATATTAATCATATCAATGAACAGTAGATATTCAAATAGGAAGTACCGGGTGCTTATTTTTGACAATGTGCTGGCAGAACAGAATGGTCATGTATGTACCTGTGAGGAGGAAGAGATCGAGGCTTTGATTGGGTTTATAATTTCAAACTTTTTTCACATTTTGCTGCAGTTAAAGGGTTCAAATGTTGAGTGTCACTGCTGCAGTTTTGTATGACTGGGCATTATGCATCTAGATGCAGGCCTGGGACAAAAGAAACAAGGATAAATGTTATTTTAGGCTTCCATGTAATTGGATAAATGTTAGTTTTATATTAATTGTGTTCAATTGTACTCAAATGGTGAGCTTTAATTGGGGATTCACATGTACCCCAGTAGATATAACCCGATTGAAACTACAATTGTTTGAGCTAGGAAGTGTATGTTTGTAATGTGGAACTTTGTAAATAAGTGCTTTGAAGAGGTTATAAAGATTGGTTTGAGTTCTGTCCCTGCCCAGCTAGTTTTCTGGAATATAACAAAGTTAGTAATGTAATGAGTTTTAGTTTCAAAGCCAACAACCATAATAACCAACCTTGGCTTAGTTGTAGCATCCGTGCCTCATTCAAAGGCACAGATAAGTGTCTTACTTTGGGGACTGGAGCAAATAATATGGACTGTTGCCTTAGTGCATTATATTGGAGATTCTGCCTTTTTTGGCTTTGTCTGTCCCCTCATGAAGATGCATTAGTTGAAGAAGAGAAAGGAAGTTCTCCCACTTTCATTGCTAGTTAAATATTTGAAAGAGAAAACTACAGAGAAAGAATAACAAAGTGGTATTTTAAAATGTTGCTCTTTGAAAGGGCTGGTGTAGACTTGATGGGCAACAACAAATTCCTCTGTGCTAGATTATTCTAAGATTCACTAACGTATGTCCCTCAACCAAACAAAAGCCAGATTATCTGGTCATTTATCTCAATGCAGGAACTTGGAATGAATAATTTTTGTTACCATGTTTCCCTACATTAACAGAGCTGACTACATTTCAAAAATTGTTCAATGGTTCTGGAAGGTACATTATTAACATAAGTTTTCTTTCTCACCTGATTAGTTTGCACACAGAATTTGACTGGAGTTAAAAGCTAAGTGAGTGGGTGTTTTTTTTTGAGAAAACATCTGTTCTTACTAAGTGAAGATGAAGTTTCAGTTTATTAATGAGAGAAAAGAGCTCTGAGGTGGAGGAAAGTGGATTTTTTGACCAATGCCACCCTAGACTAGAGAAAGAGTCAATGGGTTGTATGATTTCTATCATATTTACAATTCTGAGAACATTAAAATTGAATTCCTGTTGTAATTACATTTGCAGGACCTTTTCAAATTTAATTCCACTTTGTAGTCATCATACTAGTCCTAGAATAACTTTATGTTGTGAAGTTTTACTGATTAATGTAGGCTTAAATTTGCTGTGTACATTCAGGAGACCTCTTAGTCAAACACATTTTTTAATCATGGCCAATTAAATAAAGTTGCTGTGTTCCACGGTTGTTTGAGACCTCACCAGATATGCTTTGCAAAGCATTTTAACTGACATATGATCTATTTTTGAATTGCAGGTCTTTGGTCACTGATCTCCAAACAGAAGCAGACGTCTGCACTTCATATCACTGCAGAGCGAGGGCACACAGCTTGTGTGAAGCACCTGTTAGAACATGGCGCTGATGTAAATGCTGCCCCTGGAGGAGCAACTGCCTTGCATACTGCCTGTGCCAATGGACACACTGAATGCACCCAACTTTTGCTCAATATTGGTGCTAATCCCAATGCAATCTCTGAAGAAGGGTATGCTCCTTTGCACCTGTGCACCAGTCCCCAGACCTTTCTGTAAGTATGTTTCTTGATTACACATAGTTATGCTGAAGCTGATCTCTAGTGCAAAGTATTCCTTTTCCTGTGCTTAGATTTAGAATTCAGGACATTAGAGAAATACACAGCATAATGTGTCTATGTATAAATATATTTCAATATTAGGAAACCAAGAAACAGAGATGATACTAACCCTTTAACTGTATTTTTATTGAGAATATAAACATAAGCCCAAGTTTATATCATTAAAATAAACCTGTAAATATCAAAATGTGCACTACTGTTGCACGAATGTTGTCATTAAATAGTAGGGTGCACTTTTCCTAATGCTTCCTCATACACCATATCCTGATCTCAACCAGAGCAGCTTGAGTACAAAGAAAGATAGAATGAGAATATTCCTTGGAAAAGTGAGGAAGAGGATGTAGATATGCAAATCACCTGGATTGCTGTTCCATATTATTTCACGTCTGGCTATAACGTCAATTAGGTAGTAAGAACAATAGTTCTGTTGTGTTAAAGTACATCATATTGTCAGGACATCCCAATATGCTTTTCAGCTAATGAATTATTGTTAAAGTACAGTCATTGTTGATTAGTATTTAAACACGGAACAAATTTCCATTGACCAAGGTCTTGCAAATGAGACAAATGATCAATTTTCTTTTGGTGGTTGAGGAATAACCTTGTTGTGTCACTAGAGGGACTTCCTGTCTCTTCATTGAAAAGTGCTAGAGGAACTTATACATAACCTGAGCAGCCATAGGCCTTCCATTCAGTAGATGGCATTTACAACGATGAGATCATCCTTCAGTGCTGCACGCAAGTGCTAGCCTGGAGTTGTGTACCACAGAAGTAAGGATGTTGTTGCTATGTCAAGCTGACACTGGTGTCTCTTTAACTGCTTATTTTTCACCTTACTTTGAGCATAGAGTTCAGATTGGATGTAGAATAAACTTGAACTGTACTGGGATCAGTGATTGGTAATGCTATCACAAATGGGACGGTCCAATGCTGTTATTCTCCACATTGTTTCAGTCACTGCCCTAATCGCTGTTCCTTATGTATCCTAATTTAATGAACTGCAACATACCCAACTTTGGGCAACTGACCAAAATTTAAGTTTTGAAGGTGAATTGTCTTTGTCAAGTGTTCTTATTTCGGATTTGTTTTAATGAATTTAAGTTGGAAGTTGTACAATGAGCGCATAGATGAAATGGCACCTGCTTCCATGTTACTGAATGAACAATCAAGGGGCCTGTACTAATGATCAGAGACATGACTATTATAGGGAACACAGTTTAAAAATAAGCAGTCTCCCATATAAGATAAAGGTAAGGAGGAGTTTTTATTTCTCTGAGAAGGTGAAGAATCTTTGAAACCTTTTTCCTCAGAAACTGGTGGAGGCAGGGTCACTGAATGCTTTTAAAGCAAAGGTGGATATATTCTTGACCAAGCTGGAGTCAAAGGTTGGAGATAGCAAGAACTGCAGATGCTGGAGTCAGAGTCAGTACAGTGTAGAGCTGGAAGAACACAGCAGGTCAGGCAGCATCAGAGGAGCAGGAGAGTTGACGTTTTGGTTCGGGACCCTTCATCAAGATACTTCCTGATGAATGGTCCCGACACGAAACGTCAACTCTCCTGCTCCTCTGATGCTGCCTGACTTGCTGTGTTCCTCCAGCTCCACACAGTTTTGACTGGAGTCAAAGGTTAATGGGGGTATGCGGAAATATGGATTTGAGGCCACAGCCAGATCAACCATGATCATGTTGAATGGTGGAGCAGATTAGAGGGATTGCTCCTTCTCCTAATTTGTGTGATTGTTTGTAGTTCAAATCCCACCATTGTAACTGAAGGTTCTGTGAATTAAATAAATTAGGAATAAAAACCTAGCATCAGTAATGACGACCGTGAAACTGATACTAAGTAGTTCACTATTGTCCTTTTAGGGAAGAAAATTTCTGCCCTTACCTGGTCTGTGACTTCAGGTCAGTGTTTGATTCTGAACTGCCCTCTGAAATGGCCTAACAAGCGTTTGGGGCAATCAGGGATAAACAATAAACGTGACTCCTCCATCTTGTGAATGAAGAGAAAAATATTGTAAATATCAAATGAAATAAATAACATCAATGATCATGAATATTTTTAATACTGTCCCCTTATTCTTTCCCTGAAAATCAGAGCTAGAGAAATATAAATATGTGTGAAGGTATTTGACAGTTTCAGGAAAACATTTTTCAGCCAGAGGGTGGTGGGAATCTGGAATGTGCTGCCTGGGAGAGGAGGATAAAAGGGTTAAAAGTACTTGGATGAACATTTGAAATGTCATAACATTCAAGACTATGGGCTAAGCATTGGAAGATAGCAACAGTGTAGATTTAGAGTTGTTTTTGTCAGTGCAGACTCAGTGGGTCAAAGGGATTTCTTCTGTACTGTATGATTACATGATTCAATATGTAATACCAACATCAGGAACAGTAAAAGAACATGCCAGAAATTGCTGAAATGCTTATGATATGGATCATCTAATTCTCGATGTGCGTTTCAGGTGTGCTAAACTCCTGCTGGAACATAATGCCAGAGTTAATATGCAGACCAAAGACAGAGAGAATACGCCACTTCACATAGCTGCAAAACATGGTTTAGACAAACATGTGGACCTTTATCTGAACTATTGTGCCTACAGTCACAAGAAGAACCGAGAAGGTGAAACTGCACTAAATACTGCCTGCTCATATGCTGACAAGCCTGAGACTTTTGGCAGATATTACAGAGTCTGTAAAATGCTGATTAATTCTGGAGCCAATGTGAAAACTGCTGGGAAAAAAAATCACACACCACTCCACAATGCCTGTGGGAATGGGCATCCCGATATTGTAGATCTTTTGCTGCTGCATGGTGCCTCTGTAAATGCCAAGAACTGTGCTGGCTACACTCCAATGGACTGTATTTTACAGGCTGTCGAAGATCATCTGGAACAGCATCCTGAGCGAATTGTCGTAGCTCTGTTGAATCATGGTGCAGGTCCAGTTGACCCTAAGGTAATCCGACTTTGCAATCAATATATGATGTGAATGCCAATGTGAGCAGAGCTGTGTCATGGAGCTGTTAAACAGTTTCTAGACTGAGAAGTAACCATGCATAGGAGATACAGGTTTTAATGTAATAACACAGTGTGGAGCTGGAGGAACACAGCAGGCCAGGCAGCATCAGAGGAGCAGGAAAGCTAACGTTTTGGGTCGGGACCCTTCTTTCCTGCTCCTCTGATGCTGCCTGGCCTGCGCTGTTCCCCCAGCTCCACACTGTGTTATCACAGACTCCAGCATCAGCAGTCCTTACTATCTCACAGGTTTTAATGTAGCTGTCAGCAAACGAGCAAGATCAAATGTGACTTTAGTTTTACACACCACCCAGAATAATATTAAGTAGCATTTAAAACTGATGTTGTTTAGAATCCCGTGAATTTTGTGTCTGGTAAGCTAAATGTTATAACTAGCCCCATGGTATTTGATTAGTGCTGAAATATTGGTGTGATTGCTTATATAATATTATAGTGAAGCTCTTCCTTTTGTGATTTTTTTTCCCTCCCCTATTCTCCTAAAGGTTTCTATGAACTTACAAATTGGGTGTAGAAATAGGCTATTTTTCCACTTAAGCCTGCTCGGCCATTCATTAAAATGATGTTAGTGTTTTGTTGGTGTTAAGAATTACACATTACCATCAACCCCCATATCCTTTGATTCCTTTTCCTAACAGGAATCTAGTTCTGAAGAAGAGTCATGGAACTCAAAACTTTAGCTCTGTTTTTCTCTGTCCACAAATGCTACCAGACCTGCTGAGTTTCCCCAGCACTTACCCTCTTTATTTAAGAAGCTATCAACCTCCACTTTAAAAATATTCAAGGACCCTGCCTCTCCTACATTCTGAAGCAGAGAGTTCCAAAATCTCTCAGCGTTCTAAGGGAGAAAAATCTCCTCATCTCTGTTCTGAAAGGTTGACCTTTAGTTTTAAAATGGTACCCCTTAGCTCTGGGCTCACTCACAAGAGGAAATGTCTCTTCCATATCTACCTTGTCGAGACCATTCAGAATATTTTATACTTCAGTTAGATCACCCTTCACTCTTCTGAACTCTAGTGTTAAACAAGCCCAATCCATCAAAACTTTGCTCATAAGACAACCTGCTCGTTCCAGGTATCAATCTAATAAACTGAACTGCCTGCAATGTATTTACATCCTTCCTTAGATAAGGAGAACAAAATTGTACACAGTATTTGAGATGTAGTCTCACCAAGGCTTGATATAATTGAAGCAAAACATTCTTATTTTTATGTTCAATTCCTCCTGTAATGAAGGATAGTATTCCATTGGTCTTCTTAATTACTTCCTGTACCTACAGACTAACTTTTCTGTGGCTCATGTGTTAAAACACCTCGATCTCACTAGAACATTACACTAATTCAGTTATTCTCAATTTAAATAATGCTTTTGTAAATTCTTCCTGCCAAAGTGAACTACTTTGTATTTTCCTATATTATACTCCCATCTGCCAAAATTTTGCCCACTCATCTAGCCTATCGATATTGTATGCAAACTCATTACTTTTCTTTGAAGCATACTTTCCGACCTTTCTTTCTATCTTCTGCAAATTCAGCTACTATGCCTTGGCTCCTCTCATCTAAGGCACTGATATAAATGGTAAAAAGATTCCTGCAGATCCCAGCTGTCACATTTGTCAATCTGAAAAGGACCCTTCTATGCGAGTTTTCTGTTTTCTGCCAGCCTTACCAGCTATACAGTAAGCGCCTAGCTCATTGGCCTCTTGATCACTATTGTTGCTGTGGACTGATTGCACTTTTGTATCTTCTCAATGTTGCTATACTCAATCTCTAAACCTCATGAAATGCAGGCAGATTATTAAACAACCTAATGTACACAGCTGAGCCCAATCTAGTCCTCATCTGATATCCATACATAAACATTTTTGGTCAGTATTGTCGGGTCAGACTTGCACTGATACTTCCCTTCTCTACACAGGGCACTATGAGGTAATTTGTGACTCTCCTTCTCCCTCACTGACTAAGATTATTTAACTCAATATTGGTCTGGAATGAAACCTGGGAGTTGCTTAGTCTGTCTACAATCCAATCTTCATTTAACCATCACAGAAGAATGAATTAGTATTGGATCACCATACTTCTACAATTTGCCCTCAAGTCATAATGCTAGCAACTCTAGTAATTCTACCATTGGGTCTAATATTTATATGACAATCAACAGAACCTGTTGTGAGTGCTCAACAGATCAACTCAAATGTAATGATGTATAATTTGTGTGCCTTTCAGATGCTTAAACAATGTGCAATGTCTCCTTGGACAATGGAAGCTCTGTTAAATACCTATGAGAGTATTCCACTTTGTGACACTTGGATTGAGGCAGTATCCCTTGATGTGTGGCAGGTAAGCGCAGTAGAATGATACCTTAATTATACAGTTAACACTGGAGGTTGGTGAAACAAGCACATTTTTAACAATTTTCGAATTAAACACTAAATATAACTATTCTACATCAATGATAAACTCGTAAAAGAATCTCGGAGACTTTACAATGAAAGTATTGTCATCACTGCTGATGCTAATAATTTCCTTTCGGATATAATTTATTTATCATATCCATTTAGACTTGGCCAAGCTAAAAAATAATTTTCAATGAATAGTTTAATTTCTCAGATGAATACTGTCGTACTTGACCTATCCTAAATGGAGGAGTAGAATGCAGGGAGTAAACAGGCTTTGTTAGTGTCAGATGTATCATAAATGTCTGAACTATTGGCTTCTAGGGGCAACTTTTTTACACAGAGATTGGTTCGTGTGTAGAATGAAAAAAGGCTATGCCCTTTAAATTTGAGGATAGCATCATATATATTGAAATCAAATTTCAAAATTCATCATAACAAAAGTTATAGATGAATAGCTTTTGATAACTTTTGCAATCAAATATTTGTATTTATTGTGCCACAAAGACTCTTAAACTTTAAACATGTTGACTGAATGAGGGGAGGAGCCAAATATAAGTAATAAAAGGTAAACATTCAGTCAAAGATATGGACCAGTGAAAAATTTAGTGGCAACATTTGTTATTATTTATTCAGGGATTTTGGGTATCGCTGCTTTACCAGCATTTATAGCTTATCGCTAGTTACCCAGACGGCAGTTAGGAGTCAACCACATTGCTGTGGGTCTGGAGTCACATGTAGACCAGACCAGGTAAGGATGGCAGATTTCCTTCTCTAAAGGGCATTAGTGAGCCAGATTGGTTTTTTTATGATAATCAACAGTGGTTAGATGGTTGCCATTAGTCTGACTTTTTATTCTGGATTTCTCAGCTTTCAGCAGAGTGGACATATTTTCTCCTTTCCACACCTATTATTGACATCTATTTTGTATATCTATCACTGCTTTACCACCATTAATATTCCCTTTGTTGTTTACTCTGGGCACCCATACGTTCCACTCACTCTTCCTGCTCTTTGTTAACATTACCCAGAATCTTTCAGTTCCAAAGAGTCATATCAGACTCGAAACATTAACTGTGTTTCTCCCTCCATACATGCTGCAAGACCTGCTGAGTTTCTCCAGCATTTTCTATTTCTTTTCAGAGTAGAGCAGTTGCTTTGGGAATCTGGTGTCAGGTGTTTGACAGACATGTCCCATCCAACAGAGCTGGTATTGAATGATTACCACCTCAATGCTGGACAAGTTGGCTTGTGGAAAGACTCTACTGTTGGACTTCCTTTCTTGCCATCTGATTTGGAGGATCTTGCAAAGGCACTGCTGGTGACAAGGACATAAGACCATAAGAAATAAGAACAGGAGTAGACCATTTGGCTTCTCAAGCCTGCTCCACCATTCAATAAGATCATGGCTCATGTGACATTCCTCGTGTCCACTTTCCTGCCCTTTTCCTGTATTCCTTGATTTTCTTACTGATCAAGAATCCATCTATGTCTAGGACTCGACCCCCACAGCTCTCTGAGGCAAGGAGTTCCAAAGACTCATAACCCTTTCAGAGGGTTCCTCCTCATCTCTGTCTTAAATTGGTGCCCCTTTATTTCTGAGACTATGATGTCTGATCCTAGACTCACCCATGAGGGGAAATATTCTCTCGGCATTTACTCTGTCTAGCCCCTTTAACATCTGATATGTTTCAATGGGATCACCTCTCATTCTTCTAAACTCCAGTGAGTAGAGTCCCAACCTGTTTAGTCTTTGCTCCTGAGACAATCACCCCCGTACCAGCGAGCAACCCAATGAACCTTCTTTGAACTACCTCTAATGAAATGATTTCCCTCCTTAAATAAGGGGTCCAAAACTGCTCACAGCACTCCAGATGTTGTCTCACCAGCACCTTGTACAGTTGCAGTAAGACTTCCTAACCTTGTACCCCAATCCCCTTGAAAAAAGGGCCAACATTTCATTAGCCTTCCTGATTACCTGCTGCACCTGTGTGCTAGCTTTCTGTGTTTCATGCTCAAGACCCTTTGTGTTGCAGCTTTTAGCAGTTTTTCTCCACTTAAGTGATATTTCGTTCTTTTGTTCTTTCTTCCAGAATGAACGACTTCTCATTTCCCACATTATACTGTATTTGTCAACTCATTGCCCACTTACTTAACCTTTCAATATCTCTGAAAATTGTTTGTGTTCTTCTCTCAACCTGCCTTTCCATCTATTTTTGTGTTGTCTGAAAATTTGACTGCAGTACATTCACTTCCTTCCTCCAAGTCATTAATATATATTGTAAACAGTTGTGGTTCCAGCACTGATCCCTGTGAAACTCCACTAGTTTTGGGTCACCAGCCTGGAAAGAAAATCCCTTTTCCAGATTCACTGTTTCCTGCCCATCAGCTAATTCTCTATCTATGTCAATATACTCCCTCCAATATCATCAACTCTTATGTTTTAACATTTTGTGCAGTACCTTATTGAAAGCCTTCAGAAAGTCCAAATATAACAGATTTACTGGACCCCCTTCTATCTACTCTGGTTGAGGCTTGCTCGAAAAACTCTAGTAAATTAATCATAGAATCCTTACAGTGCAGAAAGAGGCCGATTGGCCCATAGAGTCTGCACCAAACCACCCAGGGCAGTTTAGCCTGGCCAGTCCATTTGCAAATCTTTGGACTGTGGGAAAACTGGAACACCTGGAGAAAACCCACACAGACACAGGGAGAATGTGCAAACTCCACACAGACAGTCGCCCGAGGGTGGAATCGAACCAGGGTCCCTGGTGCTGTGAGCCAGCAGTGCTAATCACTGAGCCACCGTGCTGCCCCCAAGTCAGAGAAGAAATTTTCCTTTCATGAAGCCATGCTGACTCTGTTTGATTAGGTTATGATTTTCCAAATATTCTGCTGTTACTTCTTTCAACGATTGATTCCAATTCCTCGAAGCTACAAACTCTGAATTCATATTCGAAGAGCAAAGTGAAAGGCTAAAATAGTTTTTTTTTAACTTAAGAGATTCCATCAGATGTTAGACTATCAGCCTACAGTTACTCGCTTTTTGCCTCCCTTCTTTTTTGAATAGGGGTGTCACATTTGCAGTTTTCCAATCCTCTGGTACTTTTTCCAGAATCCAAGAAATTTTGGAAAATTATAGCCAATGAATCCATTACCTTTGTAGCTATTTCCTTTAGGATCCTAGGATGCATGCTACCAAGGCCAGAGGACTTATCTGCCTTTAGCCCAATTAATTTGTCTAATACTACCTCTTGGGTGATAGTGATGGTACTTAATTCCACATCATATTCTTTAGAATTGATGGTTGAAATATCTTCCACTGTACTTCTCAAATATTTTACACTGCCTACTGTGGGCTGTCAAGTCTCCAAAGCATACAAAGGAGAATAGTGATGAATTTCAAGAGAACGTATTGACTGATGGAATGGGTGAACATGTGGCAAATGAAATTTAATTTTAAGAAGTGTTAAATATTTATTTTAGTGTGAAAAACCGAGAATTCAATATAAATGCAGAGCACAACTGCAGACAGTAGAATTGTTGAAGGTGATCAGTAGATTGAAAAAGTTTTTAAAAAACGTTTGGCATCCTGGGCTTTAGAAATAGTGGGAATGGAGTACAGAAGCAAGGAAGCTTTGATCTGCCTTTATAAAACAACAGTTTGACATCAACTGGAGTATTGTGTCCAATTCTGTACACCACTCTTTCGGAGGATGTCAAGGCTTAGGGAGGATGCAGAAAAGATTCACTAAAAATGTTTCCAAGGCTTTGGGTTTCAATTAAATGGATAGGTTGGAGAAACTAGACTGTTCTTCCTAGGGAAGAGAAGGTCAACAGGAGATTTGATGGAGGTGTTTAAAATCATGAGGGGTTTAGGTAGTGCAGATTGAGAGGAATTGTTTCTGTTGCCAGAAGGCTCAAGAGTGAGACGACACCAATTTATAGTGATTGTCAAAAGAAGCAAAGGCAACATGAGGAAAAACTGATTAATGCAGCAAGTGTAGAGCTGGATGAACACAGCAGGCCAAGCAGCATCATAGGAGCATGAAGGGTCTAGGCCCGAAACATCAGCCTTCCTGCTCCTATGATGCTGCTTGGCCTGCTGTGTTCATCCAGCTCTACACCTTGTTATCTCAAATTCTCCAGCATCTGCAGTTCCTGCTATCTCTAATGCAGCAAATGGTTAGGATCTGAAACGCAGTCTATGAGAGTATGGTTGAGTTGGATTCAATTGTGGCTTTGAAAATGAAGTTGGAAAAACATTTAAAGAAACAAAACTTGCAGGGTCACGGGAAAGTGCAAGAGAGTGGGATCACCTAAATTGTTCATGCAGAGAGTCAGAATGGACACACTGGGCCAATTAGGTTCTTCCATTGAACAAAGATTTCATCTCACCAATTGGTGTCGCTCCCCTCAGTTGATCCTTGTAGACTTCATGTGTCTCTAAAGTGGGTGTGTATAAACCTTGAAGCTACAAACTCTGAATTCATATTTGAAGAGCAAAGTGAAAGGCTAAAATAGTTTTTTTTTAACTTAAGAAATTGCATAGATTCTGGATTATATTTTACTAATAATATCTCTTGTGATAAAGGATATCAACACATTTAAAAGGGGTGTTTGAAAGGGAAAAGTGTAAAAGCATAGGCTTAGTCTGAAAAATGGTATTCAAGTAAACATTTTGTCAATTTCACTAGTGCTGCATAGATGCAATGGCCAAATGGCCTCCTGCTGTCCTATAAATTTTTAATTCTACAATGTGTCTGATATTTTCTAATTAGTTGATTTGTGATAATAGACTTCACAGAATTGACTTTATATGAGACTTTTTTTTTTGCTTTTCTACAGAAATATCAAGTATTCTATGAATCCATTATACAAATGACCAACAAACCTCGTTCTCTTCAACATCTTGCACGCTGTGCCTTAAGGAACTATCTTGGAACTAGATGCCATTCAGTCATACCACAACTACAACTTCCAAATAGCTTTGCAGAATTTTTACTCTTGAAATTTGAAGGTTATATCAAATGAAAAAGTTTAGAATACTTAGTTATTTTTTCTATTTTTTTCGAATGAGTCCTCCAGGTTACATGCAACAACTCAAACGCGTTTCCGTGTTTTACTTTGGATTATTTTTCACAATCTGTCAAATGTCTTATGCTTATTTATTTGACAGTTTAACTAATATGGGAAAACTTAACTAGTCAACTATAGGAGAAAAATGCCAATTTTTCAGTGTTCTGGCAAGAGCCCACATACAACTCCCTTTCCCTTGGCATGCCACTTGAGAGCAGCAGCTGCTGCCTAATTATAGTTTCAAAAATATTTAGCCTGCCAGTTTTCCTCCTCTGCTGAAAGCATTGAGTCTTTCCCTTGCTGCATTTCAGTGACGTGGATGCTAGTCACCATCTGGTACCTCCCCCAAGTTTTTTTTAGTCATTCATGTGATGTGGGAAACACTGGCAAGGTCAGCACTTAATGCCATCTCTAAATGCCTTTGCGAAGACAGTAGTGAGCAGCTTTGAATGACTATGGTTCATCTGGTGTTGATACATTCACAGTGTTGTTCCTAGAGACTTCCAGATTTTTAAGCCAGTGACAGTGAATGTAGTATATTTCCAAGTCAGGATGTTATGAGATTTGGGAGATGAACTTTCAGGTGAAGGTGATCCCATGTATCTGACTAGACATTTCACAGGAATTTGATACAACAGAATGGCTTTCTAAGCCATTTCAGCAGGCAAAGAGTTACCTACGTTGCTATGAGTCTTAAGTCACATGTAGGCCAGTTTGGGAAAAGATGCCAGATTTGTTTCCCTAAAGAACAGGAGTGAACCAGATGTTTCTGGATAGTTTCATGGTCACCATTACTGGTACCAGTTTTATTATTCCAGAGTTAGTTAATTGGATTTTAAGTTCTCCAGTGGCCATGTTGTGATTTAAACTCATATCTTCAGATTGTTAGTCCAGTACCATATGTCAGCATTTCCTAGCAGCATCCATGCAATATTTGTTCATGTGCAAACTTTATCGGTGAGAATTAAATTTATGGCTTAACCTAATTCTGTCCTTCCCCAGATCTAACACATACACAGATGAGTTATCTATAGTAGCCATAAGAACTCGTGCTATTTTCTTTCTTTCCCGAACTCATGACTTTAACATGTCATAACACGTTGCTGTCTTAAGATCAAATAACTCAGCATAAATTAGGAATCAAATGTGACACTGCGACCGTCTCTGTATTTTTTTCACTGCAGTGGTCAAGGAAATGTAATGCTTTTTAATTGACTAACTTATGCTGATATGAAAGCTCTCACTAAGCATAGTAAAAAATAGAAGCATCTAATACCAATGTATATGAGATGTTTATACACCAAGTTCCTAAAATATTCAAATACTCATATAATAAACATTGACTAAACTGATTAGATTGTGATGCAAAAGGCTTCAGAACAAAAACAAAATCCCCATTTAAAGACAGGTAGTGCTATGCTTATTATACTGGTAGTAATACAATTTACCTTTAGTTTCAATCATTTTTATTTGTATTTAACACAAAGTAGACATTGAATTTATGATAATAAGTGGGAAATTTCAGACTTGTGATTAGGAACCTCACTGGTCATGAATGAGGGTTTCCAAATTCAACTCCTGCAATTACAGGCTCAATTTCCATTTTGTTAGAATGAAGAGAATCTTCAGCAGACAGTACTGTCCGCATTACCCTATATTAATTATGAATATCAGGTCCCACACAGAATTTCATGTTTTAAGGTGAGGATCCACTCCTAAATTGCTGTCCATGTGAAATAGTCACAAAAACAAGAAAAGGCTTGGCCTGCTTTGCTCTGTTTCCGAGGCTTCTTTGATGTTCTGAAGAAAGGTCCTTGACCTGAACTATTTGCTGTTGTTTCTTTCTCCACAAATGCTGACAGACCTCATAAACATATTGAGCATTTTCTGTTTTTATTTATAACTGATTCACTTTTGTTTGATGCAGTATGGAGGACTAGCTTCTGTTTTTGGTCAGAATTTTTTTTTTTTTTTTTGCTTAGGATTTCTTTGTGCCCAGTCCTTTTTCTCAAGTCTTGACAACTATTCAGATAACTAAGGAAGAACGAGGCTCCTATTGGGCATTCCATACTGTGGCATGACTTAAGTGAGAAGTACCAACTCACAATGACACAACCTCTTTAGCACATAAACAAATCAAGGTGGGAAAGAGTATATTTGCTTTTCTGGTAGAACAGCTGGCTTGCCCAGCTTTTTGGCTTGCAGCCATCTAATCTAGTCTATATGTTTTATAGAGGAACACTTGCCTTGGGAAATTTTAATGAGATGTTCTCTTCCCACTGCTGAAATTTTGTGTTTGTTGCTTGAGGAATAATACAATAATACTAGGCAAAAATTTTCCTCAAATCTAATATCTTCAAGTACTACAAAATAACTCACTCCCAGTTATCCAATTTTTCCTATGGGGAATTGCTGTCAACTTGAAGCACTTCAAGAAATCATTAATTAGGCAAGAACAATGCTTTCAGCAAAATAGGTAAACTCCTCATTTTCCTTTTTGCATGTGTTTTATGGAAAGACATCTTTAATGGAAACACAAAGATTAAGAAAGCTTATCCAAATAACATGTTCAATGATTCAAATAAAGCATGCAACCGAAACAGACAAGATTAAAGATTTCCAGTAAACCCTGCGACCAGAAATGTGAAATCAGATTGTGTTTCAGAACCGAAGTATTAAATAGAATAAAAACAGAAGATGCTGGAAATACACGTGACTTTGTTATTAAGTCTGCCGATAAGGGTGGTGCTGTTGTAGTCTGGCGTATTGACCCTTACAGTGCAGAGGCTGAGCGCCAGCTCTCCGATACCTCCTTCTATCTTCCCCTGGACCATGATCCCACCATTGCACATCAGGTCATTGTATCGACTACAGTAACTGACCTCATTTCATCTGGTGATCTCCCCTCCCACTGCCTGCAAGCTGATAGTCCCCCAGCCCCGCACAGCTTGCTTCTACCTCTATCCAAAAATCTACAAACAGGACGGCCTGGGCACACCCATTGTCTCAGCCTGCTCTTGCCTCACAGAACTCAAACGTAAACTGGAGGAACAACACCTTCTATTTTGCCTTGGGAGTCTACAGCCTAATGGCCTGAATATTGACTTCACCAGTTTCAAAATCTCTCCTCCCCCAACCTGTCCATCTTCACTCACCCATCCGCTCCACCCCTCACACAGACCAACCATAATAACCCACTACCTGCATCACCAGCTTCAAAATCTCTCCAGCCCCAAACTGTCCATCTTCCTACTCACCTGTCCCCAACCTTCCCACTGACCAACCACGATAACCCCCACCTATATCCAGCTATCTCCATCTCACCTACCCTACCCCCAGCCCCTCCCCACTCCCTTCTATTTATTTCTGGGCTCCCCTCTGCCTCCCTGACGAAGGGTTTCAGCCTGAAACATTGACTTTCCTGCTTCTCAGATGCTGTCTGACCTTCTGTGCTTTTCCAGCTCCACATTTAGTGACTCCAATTTCCAGCGTCTGCAGTCCTTATTGCCTTTATCTCTTCCTACCTTGACTCAGTCTTTTCTCCCCCAGTGCAGTCCCTGCCCATGTACATCCGTGATTCCTCTGACGCTTTACGCCAGTTTCAGAAGTTCCAGTTTGCAGGCTTCAGCCGCCTCCTCTTTACCATGGACCTGCAATCCCGTTACACATCCATGCCCCACCAAGATGGTCTCAGAGCTCTCCGCTTCTTCCTGGAGCAAAGACCTGAACCTTTCCCACTCACCACCACCCAAGCTCGTCCTCACCCTCAACAATTTATGTTTTAACTCCTCTCATTTTCTTCAGGTAAGAGGGGTGGCCATGGGTACCCGCATGGGCCCCAGTTATTCCTGATTCTTTGTGGTGTATGTGGAACATTTCTTGTTCTAATCCCATTCCGGCCCCCACCCACAACTCTTTCTCCGATATTTCGATATCATCGGTGCTGCTTCCCTCTCTCGTCCAGAATTGGAAAAGTTAATCAATTTCGCTTCCAATTTCCAACCCACCCTCACTTTCACCTGGTCTATCTCTGACTGTTCCCTTCCTTTCCTTGACATCTCTGTTTCCATTTCTAGGGATAGACTGGCCACTAATATCCACTATAAACTCACCGACTTCCACAGCTACCTGGACTATACATCCTCGCACCCTGCTCCTGTAAAGACTCCGTACCATTTTCTGAGTTCCTCTGTCTCTATCGCATATGTTCCAATTAGGCCAACTTTGACAAGGGAGCCTCTGAAATGTCCACCTTCTTTCTCAACCGAGGATTCCCCAGCACCATTGTCGACAAGACCCTCGACCGGGTCCGACCCATCTCCCGCACTTCCACCCTCACCCCTCTCTTCCCTTCCACAACAGAGATAGGGTTCCCCTTGTCCTTGCTTACCATCCCACCAGCATCCACATCCAGAAGATCATCAGACACCCTTTCCACTACCTCCAGCGAGATGCCACCACCAGACACATATTCCTCTCCCGTCCCTTGTCCGCCTTCTGCAGGAAATGTTATGTCTGGGACACCCTGGTCCACTCTTTCTTCACTCCCAACAGCCCCCCACAGCCTGAGGGCACCTTCCCCTGCAACTGCCGATGGTGTAACACCTGCCTCTTTACCTCCTCCCTCCCCAGTATCTAAGGGCCCAAATATACTTTCCAGGCAACACTTCACCTGGACTTCCCAGAATCTAGTCTATTGCATTCGCTGCTCACATTGTGGTCTCCTCTACATTGGGGAAATGAAGCGTAGACTTGGGTGACTGCTTCGCAGAACATCTATGTTCTGCTCGCATAAAAGACCCTGAGCTTTCAGTTGCCTGTGACTTTAACACGCCAGTCCCCCTGGCCAACATCTCTGTCTCAGACTTGTTGCAGTGTTCCAGCGAAGCTTAGCACAAGCTGGAAGAACAACACCTCATTTTCCGCTTGGGGATCCTGCAGCCTTCTGGCCTCAA